AATAAAGTACGGTAGTGGGTAGAAGTAAAGTAGAGGAATCAAGAGGGATAGGAAATAGGAGATACACGCAAACGAACAAAGATCAGGAATAGAATTTATTAGTGTACAGTGTACAATAGAAAAAAGTTACAAAGAAGCAAAGCAAAGATGGACAGTTCTGAGCACACTGTGTAATATTTATTATATAGGCTTTCTTGAAATAGAAATTTATTGTTCTATATTTTGAATCCTCTGTTACATTCTGCTATGCACAGTGGGAATGCTTTTTTTCTCTTTTTTCTTTTGTATTTAAGTCTATACTATGTTTCTTTTTCTTTTAGAAATAAAAGTATTTAAGTTAAAAAAAAAAAAAGAAAAGAGCATTTGTTAAAGAGCTAAGAAGCTGGCATGCTGGAGGGAGAGACTTCACCATAAAAGGAAATATACACTAGAGGGAACCCAAACTCAAAAATGATTTGAGCAATTGCATTCTCAATTTCAAGTCACATGGAGATTGTGAGAAATTCCTTCTTAAGTTCCTTGAGAGACTACAAGCTAGAAAACAATAAAATAAATCTCTCTGGAAGCCCAAGACTACTTTCCATGATCTTAGTGCTGCCAGATTTCCCAGAGGCTGCTGCCTTGAGCTTTAAAAGTCTTTGGTCAGTGGGCTGGGTATAGGGGAACTTGCTATACTTCTTAATGTTACTCCACCATCTGGATTATACACATACACATACACTCACACACAGACACACACATATACACAATACATAAGTGTGTATGTGTATCTATTTATTTCATCATAATTCCAGGGCTGAGCCAATACCCCACCTTAACTATCTTATGTCCAGGTTACATATCAAACGTGCCCATACCTACGCAGTTATCCAGCCCTCCTGAAAAAGTATTTATTGTGCCATCTATCAATCCAAAGGGGATCTTGAAACAATTGATTGACAGTAGCAATTCCAATGACATCCATTCACAAGTTTCCCTGACCATGGGCCCCAGGTGGTATCTCCTGTAGGCTCTGGGCACCTTTGGAAGATTTTGCAGCACAATTATGCATCAGACGTGAACAGCCAGGCTGAAATCACACCAGTGGGTGGATATAGGACTGCAGTCATACCTACAAGTCCTATTCAAAAGGGAACAAAAATTTTACACAGAAAAAAAATCATGGTCTGGTTTCCCCAAAAAGGCTTTCCTGAAATGTTCAAAACCAGACTTTTTTCAGGTGTCCAATATAATTGGATAGTACTGTTGTGGGAATAAATGCAGCATGATTCCAGGACTGAGACAATACCCTACATCAACACTCTGATGGCCAAGACATGCCAACAAATACCTACCCACAGTTATGTAGTATCCCTAAACTAATCAAAAGCCAGTGATTATGTCATCTATCCATCCGAAGGATGCAGTTATACAAGAAATCCCAGTTTGGAAGGAAGCTAAAGTTTGACTCAGGCATAAGTACCATGGTCCAGTCCTCACAAAAAGGCCTTCCAGTAAAGAACAAGCCTATTTTCATTCCCAAAATGTTTCACGGTTTTTCTCTCCATTTCCCACCAACAACATTTTTTGGGCCTTCTTTGGAACTCTCCATCATGCCCCTGCATTGGCTACCTTCCCCTTTCACCTCTCAGTTCTCGGCTTCCTTTTGTTTGTTCTTTTCTCCTATTAGATATTAAGCTCCTTGAGGGCAGGGACTGTCTTTATTTTTATTTGTGTCCCCAGTGCTCAGTACATTATCTATCTGGCACATAGTAGGCTAATAAATGTTTATTGATTATCATCAAGGGAACTAGTTCAGCCTGATTCCAGGTCCATGGTGTAAAGCCAGGATTAGAATCAGTATTTTTTGACTTTGAGAACAATGATCTTTCCAATAGACCATTGACAGAATTTAGGATTAGATGGATGAGGGTCACAAAAAAGAGTAAACATGCATTCATAAGGAGACTAGGAAAGGATGTAATAGAGGCCATTTGAGAAACCAAATTTCTCACTGTTTGGAAAAAAAAAGTTTCTGTTTTTTCTCCATTCATCTCTTGAAAGTGAGAAAATAGTATGATAGTTCTCCATTTCAAATCAGGGAAGCTAGCCGTTGGCCTCTGCTGACCTTGTCTTTATTGATCCCTACCTTTATGATGGTCTGTTCTATAGAAGAAAATTAATAAACTTATTTACAGGGAGCAGTGTATGTTTGGGAATATTGCTGCCTCACCTGCAGCATTTTAACAGGATTAAGCTAAAAGAATAAAATTTACTCCAGGTAAAAAACTTAAAGATCAGGTCATGATTTTAGATGGTATATTTTCTCAGTCTCAAAGTTACCTTTTTTCAGCCTGCTATCACAAATTATTCAAGATTAATTCCATCTCATTTTGTTTGATTTTACAAAATCACCCCAACCAGGCTCGCCCACACCCCAAACTATACTATTTTATTTTCAGTTTCAATTTAATGAAATGCATTTCATTTTTGAGATTATTTGTGGAGAATTTTATGACACTCCTTTGGACAGCTGAAAAGCAATTGGATTATCATAAAACCAGGTGTGAGAAGCATGAGTCTAGACCTCTTCAAAACCCAGTGTGTCCTCAGGGAGGAGTCACACAGACTGCACTAACCTATTGACTGAGTTCCTTCTATTCCCTATCTGCTCATCCAAAAGTGCTTTCACCAAAAGGAGGGCAAGGATAGAAAACCCTAGCTACTGTAATTCTAATGGGTATCTATAAGCTTCCCTGATTGGGGAAGACTTAACAAGAGTGGAAAAAGTCTCCAAGAAATAAGAAGCAACTGAAAAAATAATCAGTCTGTTTAGAAAAGTAGCATTATCTTTTCCTGAGACGCCTGCTTCATCACAGAACTCTATATACATTTCTTCTCAAAAAGCCTTGAGTTCTGCCTATAGAGGACCTTGGTTTACCTTTCTGCCTTAGACATTATAGCAAAGCAATATTGTAGTACTGAGGGTGCCAAATTTGCTTGCTACCAATATAAATTACTTGGGCAAGATACTTCTGTCTAGATCTCAATTTCCTAATCAGCAAATTCCCAGGGGTTCAGTTGGATGACCTCTATAGCCTTTTATAATTCAAAATCTATTATGCTGTGATCCAGTTAGCGATGGTCGATCAACAGTCAGAGTTGTCCCAACCACATTTTTGGTTAGCATAACATGGATTTCAGGTGACTGTGTTTCTCTGCAGGCACACAAATAAATCCTGTCTTGTAACTATATCCAACACAGAATGACCTTACCACTAGCTAGCTTTTATAGTCTTTCAATCTGTTTTAATATCTTTTGGCTTTTCAACATGTCTCAATATCCATTAGTAAATCAATCTCTCCACAAGCATTTATTAAGCACCCACTATGCATTTATTTATTATTATTTACATTTAATTAATATGTACATATTTATTAAATACTTCTTATGTCAGGTATGGATGCTAAGTGCTGGAGATACAAAGAAAAAAGACAAAATAGTTCTTGATCTCAGGAATCTTGCATTCTAAAGGACAAAATGATATGTACCTAAATAGCTATATACAAAATAAATACAGTAAAGATACAAGACAATCTTAGAAGAAGACACTAACAGCTATTCTGTGCTAGGAGAATTCTGTGGGAAAAGAAGGTGGTACTTAATCTTCAAGGAAGGCAGAGATTCTAAGAGGCAAAAGTAAGGAGGGAAAGCATTCCAGATGTGGGTGAAAGCCAGTACAAAGACACAGAGATGGGAAATTAAGAATGGGTTGAGGAATAGAAAATGGGCCAATATAGCTGGAACATAGAATGTCAGGATAGGAATAATGTATAAGAAGAGTGGAAAGATAGGAAGGGGCCAGACTGTGAAAAACTTTAAATGACAAAGAGGAGTTTGTAATCCACCCTATAGATAACAGAGAATCACTGGAATTTATTGAGTAGGGTAGTGAGTTGGCCAGGAGTGTGCTTTAAGATCACTTTGGAAGCTGAGTGGAGAATGGATTGGAGTAAGGAAGATGCTTATGGCAGGGAGACCAATTCGAAGGCTATTGATAGGGTCCTGGTGAGAGGTAGTGAGGGCCTGAACTGTGATGGTAACTCTGTGAATGGAAACAATGGGAATGTATGACCAAAGTTGTGGAAAAACCCGATATTATTCAAGAATAGATTCCACATGTGGGTTGAGTGAGAGTGAGAACTTGGAGATGGCATTATATACTTGACTAGCAAGGATGGTGGTGTTCTTGACATCAGCCAGGAAGTGTGGGAGAGGGTTGGGTTTCAGGGAAAAGATAGTGAGTTGTCTTAGACATGTTGAGTTTGAGACTCCTATAGTACATGCGGTTCTAAATGTGTCCAGTAGGTGGTTAGTGATATAGGCCTGGAGATCAAGTGAGAGACTAGGGCTGGATATATGGTTAACATGGTTAAATCCATGAGAGCCAATGAGATCACTAAATGAGTGGAGAGAGAAAAGAGAAGACCAAAGAGTTAGTGTGTGCATCATGGATGAAGATCCAGCAAGGGACACTCAGAAAGAGTAGCTGGTATTTTCTGATATTTTGAAATGCCAAAGTACAGAAGTAGCATGATTCTTTTTCTTTAATACTGTAATTAAGTGATTATTTGATACATTGGAAGTCTTTACAAGGCAGTCTTATGAGGAGGCACCCATTGGATTTCTATAAAATAAGGTGGTTGGGAAGGCCTCAAAATGCTTTTGTCCTTTTAGGAACCATTTAGCCTGAATCACAGCTGCCTGACCAGAGGCTAGTCAGATTGAAAGAGAGAGGAGAACAATGAGGGAAGCTTATCTTCTTTCCTATCTCAGAGGATATTTATTTACCTATAGTTTCTGCCATTAGAATGCCAGGCCATTGAGGTTAGGGACAATATTTTATGCTCACAACATAGCAGTGTCTGTCACCCTAGCAATTCCTTAATAAATATTTATTGACTAAGAGGGTCCATAACTGGTTTCACTTATGAATTTCAAGGAAAAGAATTCTTAGTGACTCCCTAACTACTTAAAATAACAAGTGGGACACAAGCTCAGACACAAGCTTGAAAGACCCAAGGATTCAATTACTACCAAAAATAAACATTTTAATTTAGTTTCCTCCTACTTTGAAATTTCTCTAAGAGAGACTTGAATTGTGTCCCTTTTCTCATTGGCATTTTTTCTTCTATGTTCGTCTTGCTCGTCAGGGGTAATTCAGGTGGCTTTTGGCCTGGACAAGATTTTTCTTCCTTCTGTTGGTAATGTCTTGCAAGTATGAAGTCCAGCCAGGTGAGTTTCGGAAGCACCAGGGGAACAGAGTCTGCTTTGCGACATGATGGAAAGTCTGGTGAAGGGCTTGAGGGCATGGCTTTAGAGGAAGGGTAGTCTGTGACAGTAGAAATAGTATTTGGCTTTTGCTGGGGCACTTTAAGGTAAAATCTCATATTCATCTTCTCTGAATCAGGTAAAGGTGTTGGTACAGCCAGCAATTGTGCCAGAGAAGAACATTTCATTCCATGAACATGGGGACAACCATTTGGTATCCATGAGGCACAAATTAAACAGATTGTATAACTAGCAGACATATATCTTTCAGGCCAATGAGTAGGCCTGGGACAGCCCCTCATTTGCCACAGGCGAACCTGATTATAGATATCTCTCTTTATTTTCTCCTCGGGGATAGAGCTGATGATTTTATCAACAACTTGTGTACTAAGAGTTATTAATCCCTCAATGGTGAAAGGCTTGATGTCATTTAAACACCTGGGGGTGTCTCTATTCTGCTCAGTCTGGGTCTGGTGTTGATTCCCAGGTTGAGCCTCGTCTGGCTGGTCAGAGCTGGGTGTATCCTCAGCTTGATTGTAATCACTTGTTGGAGTCTCAGTGTGTTGTATGGGACTAGGAGGATTCATCTTTTGGTAGTACTGGCTTGTTGGGTCTTTTACCTGATTGCTCAGAAGTCTTAGGAGTATGCCATAGTCCTCCTTGTCCAGTGGCATTTGGGCTTGGTGGTATATTCCAGGGGGAGGAATGTCTTGGGCATCAGGATCTGGTGGAGCCTTTGAGTGGTGCTCATACCTTAGTATTGTTGGTATAGTTTGGCAATCTGGGCCAGGGTGTATATTCAGTGGCCTTGGTGTAGCAGGGGTTGTTTGGTAGTCTGGGCCTGTATTCATTAGCCTTGTTGTAGCAGATATAGTTTCGTAGTCCAGGCCAGAACGTGTATTCATCAGCCTTGGTGTAGCAGACATAGGTTGGTAGTCTGGGCCTGTATTCATTGGTATAGCAGGTGTAGGTTGGTAGTCTGGGCCTGTATTCATTGGTATAGCAGGTGTAAGTTGGTAGTCTGGGCCAGGGCCTGTATTCATTGGTGGAGCAGATATAGGTTGGTAGTCTGGGCCAGGGCCTGTATTCATTGGTAGAACAGATATAGGTTGGTAGTCTGGGCCTGTATTCATTGGTATAGCGGGTGTAGGTTGGTAGTCTGGGCCAGGGCCTGTATTCATTGGTGGAACAGATGTAGGTTGGTAGTCTGGGCCAGGGCCTGTATTCATTGGTGGAGCAGATATAGGTTGGTAGTCTGGGCCAGGGCCTGTATTCATTGGTGGAACAGATGTAGGTTGGTAGTCTGGGCCTGTATTCATTGGTATAGCAGGTGTAGGTTGGTAGTCTGGGCCAGGGCCTGTATTCATTGCTGGAGCAGATATAGGTTGGTAGTCTGGGCCTGTATTCATTGGTATAGCAGGTGTAAGTTGGTAGTCTGGGCCAGGGCCTGTATTCATTGGTGGAGCAGATATAGGTTGGTAGTCAGGGTCAGGGCCTGTATTCATTGGTGGAGCAGATATAGGTTGGTAGTCTGGGCCAGGGCCTGTATTCATTGGTGGAGCAGATATAGGTTCGTAGTCTGGGCCTGTATTCATTGGTGGAGCAGATGTAGGTTGGTAGTCCAGGCCTGTATTCATTGGTGGAGCGGATGTAGGTTGGTAGTCTGGGCCTGTATTTATTGGTATAGCAGATGTAGGTTGGTAGTCTGGGCCAGGGCCTGTATTCATTGGTGGAGCAGATGTAGGTTGGTAGTTTGGGCCAGGGCCCGTATTCATTGGCCTTGGTGTAGCAGATGTAGTTTGGTAATCTGGGCCAGGGCGTGTTTTCATCAGCCTTATTGTAGCAGGTGTAGGTTGGTAGTTTGGGCCTGTATTCATTGGCCTTGGTGTAACAGGTGTATCTTGGTAGTCTGGGTCAGAGCGTATATTCATCTGCCTTGTTGTAGCAGGGGTAGGTTGCCAATCTGGACCAGTGTGTATATTTATCAATAGATACTTAGTTGGGGATTGATAGTGTGGTGGAGTCCTGCCAGGTTGGCAAATGAAGGGAAGAAATGTGGCTTGATTTTTAGGATGGTGCTGGGGAGGAAGTTTGGCTTTGGTCTGCTGTTTAGAACCCAAGTTATGTTTGACCTTGTAATGAGGACCATGTTTGGCCTCAGCCTGACCTCTTGGCACAACAGTTGGGGAGAACTTTTGTTTGGGGCTCGTTAACTCCTCTCCCCACTGGAATAAGTCTACTGAAGCTGTGGTCTTACATTTCAGCTCTGCTGTAATAATGTGAATTCCATGATGATCAGGGTGTGGTGGTGTCGGCAGCTCATATTTATTCTTGATCTTGTCATTGTGGTTCTTTAGGGGCTCAGTCTTATGGCATACAGGGGAGGACCTGTGTGGGGAGAATTGATGTCTGAGGCAGACCATCTTCTCAGCCTGGGACTGGTGGTCTTGTTTTGATAACAGTGCAATCCTATGTGGTGGGCATGGTATTAGCACTGATTGGGTCTTGTAAGGAAGGGCCTTTTGAGGTATCTGGACCAAGGATGAAGCTGAAGAAGAGATAATGAATGGGAATTTATTATTGTGTTGTTGTTGTTCAGTCATATCTGATTCTTCATGACCTCATTTGGGGTTTTCTTGGCAGAGATATTGGAGTGGGTTGCCATTTTCTTCTCCAGATCACTTTACAGATGAGGCAAACTGAGGTAAATGGAGTGAAGTGACACAGCTAGTAATTGTCTGAGGCCAGATTTGAACTCATGAAAATAAGTCTTCCTGACTCCAAACCCTGTGCTCATTCCACTGTGCCACCTAGCTAGCAAGAGGGAAAGGAGCTATCAAGCTACCATATTACCACAAGAATGGGAATAATGACTATGGAACAGGGATGAGAAGAGGGGATGATGGGCAGAGATCTAACAGTAGTAATGACTTACATTCCTGTGCTTTCAACCTATATTGTTTTTATAACATCCATACAAGAACCCATTAGCACCCACAGTAGATCAACATTATTATCTCCATTTGACAGTTAACATTATATGCACATATAAATAATAATAGCTAGCAATCATATTATGTTTTAAGGTTTACAAAGCACTTGTCATGGTATCTCATTTGGTTCTAACAACAACTCTGGGTGGTGGGTGCTATTATATCCATTTTACAGATGAGAAAACTGAGGCAGATGGAGCTGAATTGAACTCAAATCTTTTTGATTGCAAGTCTAGTGCTCTCTATTCATAATTATTAGATTAGCTACCTAATGACTTTTATACTTCCCACAAAGACCTGTTCTGAAACAACCTATGAGGCAGGTAGTGTAAGTTTTATATAGATGGTTTTTTAGAATGGCACAGGGAATGCAGCAGGTATGGCTAATATTTAAATGGAAGAGCCAAAATTCTAATCCAGAAAACTAAGATGGAATGTTTAAGGGGTTTGTCCAAGGACACATAATTAGTAAGTGGCAGAGAGAGGACTAGAACCCAGGTTTGCTGGTTTCTTGACTCACATGCCCTTTCCATTGTTCCATATTGGTCTTGAGGAGCAGAGGTTTAGATTCAGATAGATAAGAAACACGCACGCACACATACACACACACACACACACACACACACGCACACACACACGCACACGCACACATGTTCACAAGGAGAGATGGGATGGAGTCCCATTTAAAATGACTAAAAAACCAAAGTTCTCACCTTTTGCATATGTCCTAAATCTTCTCTCCATTTATCCACTGAAAGATTTCCTTAAAAATATAATATATTAAAATAAAGTCTGGCAAACAACTGATGCTGGTGACACTTTTGACAGGCTACCAAAAGACAACCCTTCACCTGACAGCAGCCTTGGAACACCTCTTTTTTTCCCAAAGATTCTTAATTTTTTTTTTTTTTGCTATGGCTTCCTTGGGCAATCTGGTGAAGCCTAAGGAACCCTTTTCAGAATGACTGATTTTTTTTTCCCTAGAAGATGCTAAATTTTTGAGTTTTATGAAAATATAGATGTAATTTGTTTTTCCACTCAAGTTCATGAAATCTCTTGAAATTTATCCATGGAATTATTAGGGGTCTGTGGACTCTAGGTTAACAATCCCTGTTTTAAACAAACTTCCTAATGTCCCAATCCTGGAGACATTGATAATAGACATACAGCTGTTACAACTTTACATATACTTGAGGCAGCTAGGTGGCATAGTGGATAGAGATCTGAGTTCCAATCCAGCCTCAGACACTTACTAGCTGTAGTTACCTGGGTCAAGACACTTAAAGTCACTGCTTCAGTTTCCTTAACTGTAAAATGGGGATAATAATAACACCTACCTCCCAGGTTGTGAGGATAAAAATGAGTGCCTGGCACATAGTAGGTGCTATGTAAATGTAGCTATTATATTGTTACTATAGATATACTATATCTGAAATGCAATAGGTTGCATAGATGGAGTTAGTAGTTGCCTTCCAGGCCCTTCTCTTTTCTTTCCTGATTCCCCACCTTTCCTCCTCCTGCTCATTCCCTCTTAATGTTATCAAATACATATTTTGAAGGGACTCTTACATTAATTTTATGGCTATATAAGCAACTGAAGAAAAAAATTAGAACTAGCTTTCCTGGGGCATTTTAGCCTGAAATTAAAACATGAACTCTAAGTCTAGAATTTTAAGTAGTATTCAGTGATTTCTCTAGTATTTCCTCCTTCCTCCCCCAAAATCTGTTTCTATTTTTACCAATATAGCTCTATTATCTTTTATTTTTATATCACCCACATTTTCCAATGTAGATCTCATTATACCCACTCTCCCAGAGAGCCATCTGTTAATAACAGAACATAGAATTAAACAACCTCCAAAACTCGTTAGTTCTCCCAAATTAACTGCCTCTCAAAAACGGCTGCTGTGATATGCTGTGTTGCACTTATAGACCCTTACTTATACAAAGAACAGTGGGCAGGTAACTTCTCATATCTCTTCTTTGGGGCCATGCTTCATGATTATAATACTCATTGACAAGAGTATTTTTTCCCTTGGCTTCTAAGACCAGCTCTAAATCTACAAGAGCTCTCTTTCACAGAAAAGATCCCACAGGCCAATAGGTTCAAATGCCAGCAATGTTACCTTCAAATTAATTTGTATCCATTGCATAATTTTATATTCTCAAAGGACAATGAAATGAATTTGGATATACACTCCCTTAGGAAACTGGAAACAAATTTGGATTTATCATTAAGCCAAAGGGACAAGTTTAAATCAGCTAGAGACCCTCTCCTACTTCTCCCCTTCAGACCAGTTCATTTAGTCCTGCAAAGGTCTCTCACTACTAGGAGAAATAAGAAGAGCAGGAATCAGAGCAGGCTGAATATCCCAACGTCAGAGGCTTGGTTGGTGGTTGTCCTTTGTTTTTGAATAGGACCAAAATGACATCATTATGCTACAGTCCAGTTACGTTGTGTCTGACTGTGGCTGATCAGACCAATATGAGCTTGGAATGTTCTACCACAGGTCAGGCACAAATAGTCCATGTGAACACTTGGGGTGGATTCTCTAAATTTGTACATCTCACGTTTCTTTTGAGCTACTTCAATTCTGCTTTGCTCATAGAGCACATGTAGCATCTTCTCTGATGAGGGCACGCCATGTTGGGCAGTCCTGTGTCAGTGTCCCCCTTGTCACACGATCAATTCCAAAGTTCCTGAGAGACACTTTGAAAGTGTCCTTGTATAGCTTCTTCTGACCACCATGTGAGTGCTTGCCCTGTGTAAGCTCTCCATAAAATAGTCTTTTAGGCAAATGTACATTTGTCATTCTAACATGGCCAGCCCATCAGAGTTGCACCCCGTGCAATAGAATTTATTACTTGGCAGTTTAGTTCAAAGAAGGACCTTAGTGTCTGGTATCTTATCCTGCCAGGTGATCTTCAGAATCTCCCTAGACAATTCAAATGGAAGCAATTCAGTTTCCTGTCATGGCACTGGTATACTGTCCAGGTTTCACAGGCAACCAACAATGAGGTCAGCACAACATCTCTGTAGACCTTCAGTTTGGTAGTCAGACTAATACCTTTTCTCTCCCACACTTTCCTCTGGAGCTCCTCAGATGCTGAGCTAGCTCTGGCAATGCATGTGTCAACCTCATTGTCAATGTGTACATCCCTAGAAAGTATACTGCCAAGGTAAGTGAACTTAACCACAGCATTCAAAACTGCTCCATTTGGTCTAACTAATGGTTCCACGTATGGGTGGTGTGATGCTGGCTGATGGAGCACTTTGTTTTCTTGGTGTTAATTGTTAGGCCAAAATTAGCACAAGCAGCAGAGAATTGATCCATACTTTGTTGCATCTCAGCTTCCGAGGCTGCACTGAGTGCACAATCATCTGCAAACAGAAAATCATGCACCAACACTCCCTCCACTTTAGTGTTGGCTTGTAGCCCTTTCAAGTTGAAGAATTGACCAGCAGTGTGGTAGCTGCCCTTGATGCCATGTTTGTCCTCATTGAAGGCATTTGAAAACATGGCTGAAAACATCATTCTAAAAAAGCATGGGAGCAAGCACATGACCTTGTTTCACTCCATTAGTGACTGGGAAAGCATGAGAGCATCTTCCATTATACAGAACCCAGGCAAGCATGCCATCATGAAATTGAGACACGATACTGATGAACTTCTCTGGGCAACCAAATTTTGACATAATTTTCCATAATCCCTCACAACTGACTATTAAAGGCTTTGGTTAGATCTACAAACATTGTACACAGACCTCTGTCCTGCTCCCGGCATTTCTCCTGTAGTTGTCAGGTAACAAATACCATATTGACCACTCTTCGGCCCTTTCTGAAGCCACGCTGGCTCCCAGGTAGATGATTGTGTTCCAGGTGAAGGATCAGCCTATTAAGGAGGACTCTGGCAAGAAACTTGCAGCAATGACTAAGAGAGAGACTGATTGTTACAGGACAATCTATTTCCTTTACCTTTATAAAGACGGACAATGGAGGCATTCATGAACTCCTGGGGGATAACCTCCTCTTGCCATGTAACCTGGAAAATTTCAGTCAGCTTTTGTGTGAGCAATGGACCCTCCACCCTGTAAATCTCAGCTGGAATAGAATCATCACCAGGTACTTTGCCACATGAAAGGAGCCTAATGCATTCAAAACCTCTTCTTCAGTTGGAACTTCAACTAGGGAGGGATTGACTTCAACCTGAGGTAAATGGTCAGTGGCTTCATCATTGATTGATTGACAGTCTGTTGAAAACACTGTGGAAGTATTCAGCCTCTCTCTCTAGGATCATGTCCTCATCACTAATCAATGTGGCTCCATCAGCACTGAGTAGCTGAGATACACCATAGGTCTTTGGCCCATAAATAGCCTGCAGGGCATCATAAAAGCCCTTTGGATGATTACTACCAGCATAAAACTGAATTTCATCTGCCTTCTTACTGAGTGAAGAATCCTGTATCTGTCTAAGCTTTGCTTGTACTTTACTTTTGATGGAATTAAATTCTGCCCTCTTAGAGACAGATGAAGAATCCTGCTGGTAACCCTGTGGAGTTCTCATTTTTCATTTAGCACCTTCTGAATTTCCCCATCATTTTTGTCAGACTAGTCTTGAAGTTTGCAAGTGTTCTGACCCAGATTGAACAAAAGCAGTGCTATACACCAAATCTCTGAAAGCTACCCACTCCTTTTCTGCTCCACTGTTGCCAACTGTGTGTTGGCTCAACTTTGCCTCCAAGTTAGCAACAAACCGTTCCTGCTCAGAGAACAGCTCTAATCTATTGACATTAAATTCTTCTGATAGTCATTTTGCCTTGAGGCTGCTGCTTTTGAAGAATGCTAATATTTAGCTTGGAAAGTCTATGCTCAGTCCAGCAGTCTGCACACATTGCCTACATTACTCTCACATCCTATCTGTCTCTTCTCCTTACATTTACATAGCTTATTAAATGCCAATGTTTGCTGTGAGGGTGCATCCATGAAGTTTTATTGTGTTTAGGTAAACAGAGTCAGTATTGGTGATAAGATAGTCATAAGATACACAAGTCTTCAGTAGTTATCGACCACTGTTATTGCTGTTTCCAGTTTCATTCCTCCCTAGGACTCCCTGCCTATGTCTGGTACTCTGAGCCTACCTACGCTAGTATTAAAGTCTCCCAGAATTATGAGCTTGTCCTCTTTTGGCACATTGATGATAAAGGTCTGCAGGTTTTCATAACATTTTTCTTTACCCTCATCAGGACTTATCAAGGTAGGAGCACAGGCACTGATGATGGTGGTGTGCCATTTTCCTGAAAGTAGCAATTTACATCATCATGAGCCTGTCATTTTGGTAGGCATACAAACTTGTTGACTAGATTAGTTTTGATTGCAAAACCTACACCAGCTTCAAGGTGCTCACCTTCACTGTGGCCACTCCAGAAAAATGTCTATCCAGCTCCAACTTCAGCAAGCTGGCCTTCATTTGCCAGCCTTGTTTCACTCAGGGCTGCTATTTGGAGATGCAATACCTGCAAAGTTCTCTCACAAGAGCTGTTCTCTTTCAGGTCTGCTGGGTTTTGTGCTGTGTATAAGTGTGTGCACATTCCACGTGTTGAAGGTGAGTGGAATCATCTTCACAGTAGTTTTTGTACATTTTTTTGGTGTTTTGACTGCAGGGTGGGATCCCTGTCTGCTGTGGTAATCAGGCCAGAGTTGAGTAAGCAGACAATTTTTAGGGCACCTTTCCTAGCCCCTTCCTTACACCAGGAGGTGAGCAGTGTGATCCTTAAAAGGCTCCTCAGACACCTAGGGAGCTGTGGAATCCTACTGCTGCTTCCAGTGAGATGACGACTCTATGGCCTGGGCCACCTGTGTGCAGGGTTGTGACTATAGCTCCAATGTATCCACATCTGCTGCTTCGACACTTGCCTGTTAACACAGGACTTTGAGATAGGTAGAAATGGTAAGATGGTATAGATGATGGCTTTTGATTCATGTGTAAATTGGATTTAAGTGAGGCAGAGTTGCGTGAAGTTATTGGCCTCTCTCCTCCAGAGTTATCACAGTGCAGTGGCAGGACAGGGTCAAGATGACTGGTGATGGCTCAAGATGCAGTGGATGACCTTGGTGTCTTCATTGTCTAATCAAGCTCTAAGCACTCCATAGTGCCTGCTTCAACTGCCTTCATGGCTTTTGGAACAAATTGTTCTCACCTGCCCATTCCACCAGAGGAAGTCTTCACATACTTGGGGTAGACACCCACCTAAGTCACTGACGGGTTTGAGATCCCCTGGTTATCCTCAACCTGGTGTAGCCTGTCTGCTGAAACAGTTTACTGGGGTGCGTCCTACAGTTTCTTGTAGCCACACCTGAGAGTTAGGTGGATCACGTGGACACCAAAAGTGGAAAGCAGCCCTGAAAAGGGCTCGGCAGTCACCACACCAGAGGTACTAGCCCTTCCGGAGGTACTAGTCTTTCCTGAGCACACTCTACACCCCAATGTCAGGGGCACTGGATCAGTCAAATACCCAGTGGACTCAGGGGCTTCTCTTTAATTTAGTGGAGACTAAATTAAATAGAAAGCAAACAATAATAATTAAGTCTCTTCAGTGAAATGGTTTCTCCTATACAAAAGAATGCATAAAAAAAATCAACTTTTAAAAATAATCAGTAGGATTGAATCCTGTGGTCCCAACCCAGATAGGTGATCTGATATCACTTTGACATCACAAAGCATCACTTGTCCATTATTGCTTGGCATTAAACGAAGCTTGCCCTATGATAGGATTTCATGGTAAATAGGACTACAACTAGCTTGAACTTTTAGCTGTATTTAAAATGGAATTTCCTGTTCATTCTTTATTCCTCTTCATTCATTTGATGGCCCCTTCATGTCCTTCCAATACAAGACTCAATATTTCTCTCAAGAAGCACAGAATTTAGTTCCTGTCCCACCTCTGGTCACATTTACAAAACATGTAAGCTCTGTGAGGACAGGCAATGTCTCTTTACATGATTTGACTTGCCTATCCTTCACTCCCCTTCAGCCACTGAGCTAGCCCAGGGCCCTGGAGAGCTTACTGTAAATTGTACCTGAGAATACAATTGATAAAAAAATGTTAGCGTCAGGCTTCCCCAATGTTTGCGGTAATCTACTCCTCCAGCATGCCAACCCTCTACCTCTTCCAGGTACATGAAGATATTGGTCCAACTTAAAGATGGCTTTTAAAATTTATTTTAATAATTTCCGAAGACCTCTCTTACCCTGTAGAAGCCGCTTGAGAATATTACAAAGAGCACTGGAAATATTAATTTAGACTAGGTAGTTATCAGACAACCAATAAAGCATTTATAAAGTACCTATTGTGTATCTGGTACTGTATAGGCACTAGGGGTGTGAACAAGAAGTTACAATGGGGATACAAAGAAATTATCCCTGTCCTTTAAGATTCGTGATCTAATTGAAGATAGCACAAAAATATAAAATATATACAAAGTAGATATAAGATAATTTGGGGGGTGGGCAAAGGGGAGATGCTAAGAGCTAGGAAGATCAGGTGTCCATATTTGAAGACAGTGATTAAGCTCAGCCTTGAGTCACATAACCACAGATGTAGAGCTAGAATGACATAGACCATCAAAGTCCTACCTCACATTTTGCAGACTGAGGAAAGGATAAAATGACTTATCCATGATCACACAGCTAGCAAGTGTCAGAGGCAGGATTTGAACCCAGGTCTTCCTGACTCCAAGTCCAACACCTTAACCGTTATGCCACTGGATTCTAAGAGGGTGAGGTGAGGAGGGAACACACTCATGGATTAAGAGACAACAAATGCAGAGGGATGGAGATGGGAGATGGAGAGTACCGTGTATGAGAAACATTTTTTAAGGAGTTCAATTTGGCTAGATCTTAGTGTATGTGAAAGAGAGTAGCACTTACGTGACATGGCTGGAAATCTAGTTTGAAGCCATATTGAGAAGGACTTTAAAGGGCTATATAGTTGGTCCTCGCAGTATTAGGGAAGTTGCTGGAGAGTTTCCTGAGTAAGGGATCTGTTAAGTGAGAAATGGTCAGACTAGAGCTTCTAGAAAATCACTTTGGCTACCATATGGAGGGTGGATCAGAGTATGGAAATGAGTCAGGAAGACCAATAGCAGTAGTCCAGGTGAGAGGTGACTAAGGGCCTGAACTAGGGCGGTTGGTTGTCAGATTGAAGACGAGACAGACATGAGAGATGTGGAGGCAGAAATGACAAGCTATGGCAACTAAATGGCTGTGTGGGAGGAGAGAGAGTGAGGAATTAAGGATGACACTAAAGTTTTAAACCCTAAGAATGGAAGTTCTCTGTGTGTGTGTATCTACAATGGGACCTAATTAAAACCCTGGGCTAACTGCCTCCTTTTCATTGCTGAGCCTTCAGACACTTTGGCTTTTTCCTTCTTCCATTTTTTGCCCCAAGAATGGCTATTTTTTGGGCCCTCCTGGCTCTGAGAGAATGTAAATAGTAACTGTTTCTCTTTCAGCCAGCAACCCTGAGAGTCTTCCCCTCCCAATCTGATTTTTTTTTTTTATTAAAAGGGCCATCCCTTGACTCACTTCTTAAAGAGGCCTATTCATGGAATGGGTGTTGCCTCACTCAAAGTGACAACTAAAAAAGACCTTACTTTAAAAGGGCCAGAGTTTCCCACTGCATCTTGGGCCATCTCCAGTCTCCTGACCTACATCTGGCCACTGGACCCAGATGGCTCTGGGGAAGAAAGTGAGGCTGATAACTTTGCACAGTCCTGCCTCACTCAAATCCAATTCAATTGCAAGTCATGTCATGATCTCCCTGATGTCATGGTCTTCTTTGAGAACGAAGGACAAACCACACACAAGCCCCAAGAAGATCTATCCCATTTGTACCTGAGAACCTCTGATGACCATGACCTTGACCTCTTTCTCCTTGCACAGAGCTTCTATGTCAAGGTTGCTTACCTGTAAGAACTTCAAGAAGATTAATAAACAGAGTACTTCAAATATTCCTAATAGGATCAGGAACCATAAGCCAATTAAATTCCAGTTTGAGATCTCACTACCTGACAGCTTCTCCAGGAGAGGACTGAATATCCATGAAAGTAGCTAACTTTAAAACCAATGGGTTAAGAAAAATAGCACTCTCTCTCCTGAGAAGACTGTGTTCTGTGATGCAGAGAAAACAGATGTATTTTCCTTTAACACCTTTAGCAGGACTGAAGCCTTGATTATTCATCCCAGATATGAGACCTGAAATTTCCCTGACATCACAAAGCAGTAGTTGTTTTCTGTCAAAGTGCAGTTGAAATTACCTCACCCACATCTGGGGAGATTCAGTAGCTTTATAGGATGGAGTGTGGGGAGAACTAAAACATGAGGTTCCATGTGCAGGGTTGCAACACAGAACATGAGCAATCCTGACTTGATATCTTTAACAAACACTTGGTTTCCTTTTGGTTCCCAACAGCAAATTTCCCATCACTATAACCACTTTCATGCAATCCCACCCTACTACTATCAGTTATTTAACCTGAAAATGTGATAGGTTTAGAAAGTACAAAGCCACTGAGGTTACAGTTTGACTTCCTATCTGACCTAAGGGAACATTTAGACCCAGGTTATTGGTACAAAATAAAAGGAATTTTATAGTCTTGTCCCCAGGGGATTTGGAATCTAGGTTAATTAAAAAGGAGATCACACCTTATATAAAGATAAGCTACAAATGGGGACGTGATCCATTGAAAGATCACATCATAAATAGAGAAACATGGGGAAAATTACCAGTCAGATCTATGGACAGGAGAATAATTTATGCCAAACAATCAATAGAGAGAATCACAGAAGATGAAATGGAGAATTTTGATTGTATGAAATTTAAAAGTCCCCCCCCCATTATTTCTGTGGTAGAAAAAAACAACAAAACCAAAGCCTAATGAGATGCCCCAAAATTGAGGCATGGCTGAATAAGGTATGGTACATTAATGTATTGGAGTACCATTTTATTGTAAGAAATGAGGAAATAGAGGTGGAGCCAAGATGGCTAAGAAAAGGCAGGAAGTTGCCTGACTTGTCCCTAGTTTCCCTTGAAACAATTTTAAATCAAGCCTCAAAATGAATTCTAGAGTGACAGAACCCACAAAAGGACAGAGTGAAACAATTTTCTAGCTCAAGATAACTTAGAAGAACTGCAGGAAGGTATTATCTCACTTGGGTAAAAAAAAAAAGGGAGCATAGCCCAGCACAGATGGTGATCAGGCAAGCTGTCTCCTAGCACACAGCAGCAGAGGCCCCAGAGATCTTAGCTCAGCAGGCTGGCAGCATAGAGGGCTAGCTATAAGGCCTCCAGCCCTAGTGCAGCAGACAAACAGCCAGGCCTAGAACCCTCAGTGCAAATGTTGTAACTAGGCTGAACAGGCTGGCCCAGGTGACCCCAGTGCAGTGGGCCAACCACTAGCTCCTGGGCTCCCAGTTCAACAAGTGAGCTGCCAGCCCCAGAGGCCCCAGCACAGAAAACTGTGACTAGGCCCCTAGCCCCTGGCACAAGAAGCTTGGGACGGTGTCCCCTCCACCCCAGGAGCAGAGCTCAACTTTAAAAGTAATGAAATAGACTGGGAAAATGAGCAAAAAGCAAAAAAATTCCTGACCATAGAAAGCTTCTATGGTGACAGGGAAGCTCAAAACACAAAACTCAGAAGAGGGCAACAATATCAAAATACCTGCATGTGAAAACTCAAAGAGAAATATGAATTGGTTTCAAGCCCAAAAACTCTTCATTCAAGAGTTCGAAAAGGATTTCAAAAATCAAATAAGAGAGGTAGAAGAAAAAATGGGAAAATAAATGAGAGTGATGCAAGAGAATCATAAAAAGAGTCAACAACTTGGAAAAAACTCCTTAAATTGTAAAATTGGCCAAATAGAAGAGAAGATACAAAAATCCACTGAAGGAAACAACTTCTTAAAAACTGGAATTGTCCAAATGGAAAAGGAGGTACAAAAGCTAACTGAAGAAAATAATTACTTAAAAGTAAGAACTGGGTAACTGGAAGCTAATAACTCCATGAGACATCAAGAATCAATCAAAATCAAAAGAATGAAAAAAATAGAAGAAAATGTAAAATACTTTATTGAAAAAACAACTGACCTGGAAAATAGATCCAGGAGAGGTAATTTAAGAATTATTGGACTTGAAAGCCATAACTTGAAAAAGAGCCTGGATAGCATTTTTAAAGAAATTATCAAGGAAAATTGTCAGAATCAGAGGGCAAAATAGTAATTGAAAGAATTCGTTGATCACCTCCTGAAAGACATCTCAAAATGAAAACCCAGGAATATTACAGCCAAATTTCAGAACTCTATGGTCAAGAAGAAAACACTGCAAACTGCCAGAAAGAAACAATTCAGATATCAAGGAGTTACAGTAAGGATTACACAGGATTTAGCAGCTTCTATGTTAAAGGATCATAGGACTTGATTTATGATATTCTGGAAGACAAAGGAGCTTGGATTATAAGCAAGAATCAACTACCCAGCAAAATTGAGCATAATCTTTTTTTGGGGAAAATATGAAATAGGGGACTTTCAAACTTTCCTGATGCAAAGACCAGAGATGAACAGAAAATTCAATATTAAAATACAAGAGTCAAGAGAAGTATTAAAAGGTAAACAGGAAAGAAAAAAACCTCAAGATTAAACTCTTTACATCCTTACATGGGAAAATGATAATTATAACTCTTAAGAACTGTATCTCTATTAGGGCAGTTAGAAAGAGCATACATACACACAGGGTGTGGGTATAAGTTGACTTTGATGGGATAATACAAAAAAATTAAGGGATGAAAAAATGATTGCACTGGGAGAAGAGGAAACTGAGAGGCACGATGGGGTAAATTATATCACGTGAAGAGATGTTAAAGACCTGTTACAGTAGAGGGAAAAAAGGGAGGAAGATGAGCATTGTTTGAACCTTACTCTCATTGGATTTGGCTCAAAGAGGGACTAACATAACACACTCAAATATATCTTGTCCTATGGGGAAGTGGGAGGGGAGGGGGGCAAGAAAAGGGTGGGGCTGATAGAAGGGAAGGCAGATTGAAAGAGGTGGTTGGTCAGCAGCAAAACACTGGTAAGGAAGGACAGGAGAGAGAGGGAAAAGTATAAGCAAGGGAAAATAGAAAGGAAGGAAATACACAGTAATTGTAACTATGAATGTGAATGCGATGAACTCTTCTATAAAACAGAAGCAGATAGCAGAGTAGATTAAAAACCAGAATCCTACAATATGTCATTTACAAGAAATACATCTGAAGCAGAGAGCCACACATACAGTAAAGATAAAAGTCTGGAACAGAACATACTATGCTTCAGCCAAAGTTAAAAAAGTAAGTGTAAAAATCATGATCTCTGACAAAGCAAAAGCAGGACAAGGAAGGAAACTACATCTTGCAAAAAAGTACCATAGACAATAAAATAGTATCAATATTAAACATATAAGCAACAAGTGGTATAGCATCAAAATTTCTAGAGGAAAGGTTAAATGAGTTATAGGAAGAAATAGGTAGCAAAACTATAGTAGTGGGGGACCACAACTTTCTCCTCTCAGAACTAGATAAATCTAAACACAAAATAAACAAGAAAGAAGATAAGGAGTGAAAAGAATTTTAGAAAAGTTAGATATGATAAACCTCTGGAGAAAATTGAATGGGGTAAGAAAGGAATATACCTTTTTTTTCCAGTGGTGCATAGCACCTACACAAACACAATCAAATGCAGAAAGGCAGAAATATTAAATACATCCTTCTCAGATCATGTTACCATAAAAATTACATTTAATAAAGGGCAATATAAAAAATAGATTAAAAATTAATTGGAAACTAAATAATCTAATCCTAAAGAATGAGTGGGTGATAGAACAAATCATAGAAACATCAATAATTTCATCAAAGAGAATAACAATAATGAGCCAAAGCAGTATGTAGAGGAAAAAATATATCTCTAATGCTTACATCAATAAAATAGAGAAAAAGCAGATCAATGAATTGGACATGCAACTAAAAAGGCTAGTAAAAGAACAGATGGAAAATCCCCAACTAAACACTAAACTGGAAATCCTGAAAATCAAAGGAGAGATTAATAAAATTGAAATTAAGAAAACCATTGAATAAATAAAACTAAGCTGGTTTTATGAAAAAAAATCTCAATAAATAGATACAATTTCAGTGAATTTGATTTAAAAAAAGAAAGAAAACTAAATTACCAGTATCAAAAATGAAAAGGGTGAATTCACCACTAATGAAGAGGAAATTAAAGCAATAACTAGGAGTTATTTTGTCCAATTGTATGTCATTAAATCTGACAATCTAAGTGAAACTGATGATTATTTATAAAAATATAAATTGCCCAGGTTAACAGAAGAGGAAATAGAATGCTTAAATATCCCCACTTTAGAAAAAGAAATTGAACAATTTGCTTCTTTTCTGGAGATTAATTAGACCACTTAGCAAACACCATTTTTTCTAGTTCTTTGTGATGTTTTTGTTTTCATCTTTACTCACAACAAAAGAGTGCAATGAATCATATGTATTTGTCCTGAGATTCAGTACTCTATCAAATGATACAGAAGCAAAAGGGGGTGGAATTGATGGTGGGCAGAGAAACAGCTCAATTCAGCTTCATCTCACTAAAGTCTGATGTTCTGAGTCAGCCTAGAGTTTCTGGGAAGTCCACCCCTGCCAAAAAAAAAAAAAGAAGAAGAAACCATATGAAAACTTACTTATCTCAAGTAATTCACTCAGCATTGTTGATTCCAATAGGCTCTGAGGTCTCTTTCAGTGTAAGACTTTGTGATACTGTTGTCAATGGCCAAAATAGTTATTCTGGGTCCTGACAGTCTTGCACTTTCCAGAACACAGAAATACTGCTAGCTTGTGGTTTCATAATTACATGAAGCCATGTGACCTCCCTGAGAACATTATTTCAGGTATGATGTTCAGTCTCAATTTGGAAAAGTCCTCCTGGAACCAGTGGGCATTTATATACAGTGAGCCTGGGAAAGTGATTAATGGATAAATTCATTCTCAAATTCTGGGAGGGTTTTTGTTATCCAATTAGACAT